TAGAAAATATATATATATATATATATATATATATTTTCTAGCTTTTTATATTAATCGATGATTTAAATATATATGATAGATTTGAAATATTATAAATATTTATGCCGTTGTTCCGTAAGAAAAATAAAATTTATTGAACCGCACCCCGTAAAAATTTAGAGAGAGAGAGAGTGGTCTAACATTATTTATTTTATACAAGCGTTTTCGATTATTTTTATTGATATTTATTTATATGCATGAATGAAAAAGTAATACATGTAATATATGATGCAAATAAGATATTTTTTTGGTTAGAATATATTATACTCTCAAAGCTATTGTCCTTGTGAGAGTCAATACGAGATAAAGGATCTAGGTGAGGGACACTATCCTAGACATATAACAGTATCCAGCTGCAAACCGAAAACATGTCAGGATAAATTTAATTCATGTAAATTGTTAAAATATATGGTGAGTTGGATGTTTATGTTATTACAATATTTCATCTATTTTATTTTATTAACTAAACAAAGTATATGTACATTAGAATGGTTGTTAAAGGATTATTAGGAATTATTCAGGATAAAATATAAAATGTAATAATAATTAATTCATGAAGATATTTTGATTTATCTTCTGACTGAAAACGATATTTTTCAGATACACATTCTTAGCGAACGAGATACGACCACTTTGATGGAAGATGACAGTTACATGGATGATAATGCACCACTTCCTGAATCGCTTCGTCACAAATGGCAATTGAAACCAATGTACGTTGCGGTTGCTTGCGTGTCCGAAACATAAAGAAATAAAAGAATAAGAAAAAGAAGAAATTAAAAGAAAAAACAAGTTCAACGATCGATAAGTAGAAAAGTGGACAAATAAAATACTATAGTCAAGAAAAAGAAAAGTAATAGATGTAATAACAGTAATATATTATCATGATGTATCACGCATTTATATGTATATACACGCACATATATAGGGTGTTTTATTTGAATTAAACATCGTTAGTAATATTAACAAATATTTCAATAAATCTTGATATTGAAATTATCAAAATTCTTAGAAAAATATAATCTTGGAAAGTTTTCGTTCAAATATATTTTTTCTTGCCGTTATTATTATTATTATTATTATTATTATTGATCTTTATAGTAAATAATGAAGATTATAATAGGACACCCTATACGTATATTCGGATCCTTTGGAATATCATAGACAAGTATTTGAAAAGTGCATACTAGAAGCCTAAGAAAAATCTACAAGGTATATCAATAAATCCTGCTGTGAGTTGCACCATGTCGTAAGAGACGAACGAAATCGCGTACACGGAAAGCCACTACGCATTTTTCTCATCCGAAGCAACTTACCCATTTCACCCTAGAGATTTTTTGTGGGAGAGAATCGCCTGCGAAAGACTCGCCTGAGTTATACGAATTAATTATAATCATTTTCAAAAAACTGTTATACTATAAGAACGAAAAAGAGAACCGCACTGAAAAAATATTTAGAATAGTCTAATATATTCTCTATAAATTCTCTTTAATTATTTTTATTTATTTATTTATGCACGGATATACTATGACATGTTACGTAATATAAAACATACAATGATTAATATTTCATTAAATATTTGATTTTTAAAAGAACTTTAATATAATTTATTAGCTTTTTGAAAGTTGACTAATTTTGCAATCAATTTTAGTATCGGTGGTTTCCTCGACGACAGATTGTAATTTCAATAACTCTCTCTATCTCTCTCTCCTCTTCTATGCATATTTGGCCATTAGTGTTTCCGAGAGTTCAGGGTAATTTTATCAATTAACAACATATATCTATAGTGTCTGCTACTTCGGTTTGCTTCTCCGCGTTGATGTTGTTGTTCTTCTTCCTGTGGGAAGTCGAATGACATTTTCATCTCGTTACATTATTAAACAGAATTTCTTTGTCTTAACGAAATTTTGTTAACAATTTTCTCTCGCGATGTAATTATTCATTCTGCCGAAAATAAAACTAATAATAATAATAATTCAACTGTTAAGAAACTTACGTAATATTAAATTCACATATTCATACACACATCTGCATTTGTAAAATTTGATTTTACTTTCTTATTATGAAAGTATTATAATTCATTTATATCCCCAAAATGAATTTATGCTTATCGTAGTATAATTATGAAAATATACCTAAATTTCATATGCAATTTTTTCGATAAATTATGTTTTATAGATAATTAATAATAACGAGTAATTATCGACGATCCGTCAAAAGAATTATTTTATAAGTATTCACGTATTTCAAAGTTATCAATATAATAACATTTTAACAAATGAGTTAAATCATCCGACGATTATTCGACCTTGACCAGTCAACCGACGAACATTTGAACGATCGTTTGAGCTCGAAAAGCCTATATTCTTGCTTGCTGCATTCGCGTGTACTTTTTCACGCATAAACACGCCCACATATAAGACGGATTTATATAATATAATATATACATATATAAATATGTTGTATATATTAATACAGACAAACACAGTTCTACGATCTTTACGAATTCATTCATTCCAATCTTCACTTTATAAATATCTCTTCTCTTTCTGACAATGAATTTATTTCATTGAGAACCTTTTAAATGATGTTAAATACAATCATGTACATATTTAGAATATTTCGTATAACTCGTTAATTGAAATTCGTAAAGCATAGAAATGTGTATATGTGCATATGTATAGGACATATATACGTACATAACGATAATCGTTGTTGTGAAAAATGTGAATCTTTTATAGCTCTCCACAGAGACATTAAAAGAACAATATTTACAAGGAGACAGTCTCACCGAATTCCTCTCGTAGGAGCTGTTATATTCTATAGACTTTTTCGCGACAAAGGAAAAGGTTGACGTACTCCGGATGGATCTTGAATCCTCGTAGGTAACGTGTGTCCCACGAGTATTTTCTTATTTTCCTTTTTTTCTTTCGAATCATAAAAGTTATAAAAGTCAAATTTGGTCATTGAATTTTTCTAGATTCTATCCAATAAGTTTATTCAATTTATCTATTTGAAAAAGAAAACAATTGTTTAAAGAAAAAAGGAATACACTCTCCTGGTAGCTTATACAAACTCAAACCCATCATCGTCTTTCGACCGGTTGAAGATAGGAAAATACGAAGTGGTCGAAAAAGATAATGCACGTTTAAAGCCGGTCAAAGCTTATACCCATTTACCTGTATGAAATGGTAAATGAAAAATCGAACAGAATGTAAACGGTAGCTCAAGTGGTTATATCCGCACTTGACTCCGGAAAGTCGACCAGAGTGCTTCGAGAGTGTTTGAGTTAAGTGTTATGCACTGGAAAAGGATAATAGGAAAGAGTGTGGGTTGCTTGCGTTATCGGAGTGTATCGTATCGTTCGACGAAAAACAGAAAAAAAAGATGATGACGATACAAAATTCATCCTAGCGTCCTTTGAATATTAACACGCGCAAACAACATTTTCTAGAAAAAAGAGAACAGAAACGAAGAATGATGACAAAATTGTATTATCTTTCCTCATTGTCAGCTGATTGCTAGATAATTTTCCATTGTTTAAACAATTGGTAGATTTGTACATAATTTTGGGGGGTCTATGTATAGGAAACGAAAGACCCGTTTGCACCCGTTGCAACGATAACAAATATACATACAAATGGCATAACGCGACAATACTATTCTGTATCTTTTGTTTACAGTTAAATTCGCTTCAATGCAAAAGCATTTTAGTCGGGTCATTATCGTTACGATAACTGGATTATACATTGCACTGTCGTTCTAACATTTTTAATGGAAAAGCATTTAAGTGGACACACGTGAATGCAAATTACAATTACTTAATATGTATCTCTACGTGAATGTACGTGCACATGTTTAATCGTGTGCGTATCTCGCGATATTATTAATGTGCTCTTCGTGAAATTTCTCCTTTCTCTCTCTCTCGCTCTCTCTCTCTCTCTCTCTCTCTCTCTCTCTCTCTCTCTCTCTCTCTCTCTCTCTCTCGTTTTCTATCCATCTCACTCTTTCACTCACATCTAC